CACAATGGGCGGCGGCGTGGTCTGCGTCTGCGTCACATTGTCCGGCAGCAATGACACCTGGCAAGAGGTATAAACTGCAAAAAACCTGGCAGCAGGTATAAAATGCGACTTTAATTAAAACGGAATAGAAGAATTTAACGTAACTACTCCAGGTGGCACCCACAATAGTGGAAATCCACCCGCGGGAACCCCCGCGGTCAGGGCAAGGATCCTGGAGGCCCTACCTTACGTTCCAAAACAAACTGCTCCACCGGCGACACACTTGGCCGGTGACCAAGCTACAAGTGAGACCCTAGAGGAGCTCCAGGCGTTCGGGCGGGGTAACAAGATAAAGAGAACTCCCCCCAAGCAGACGGCAAGCGAACATACCCCGAAGAGGCATCGGGACGAGCTATCTCCGCCAGGAAATTCCCAACCGGGGAAAAAATCAAAAATGCCGCAAACCCCCATTGATGAGATGGGTGCGATCCTGGAAGACCTTTTGGCTAAGGTGAACGACCAAAAGGTCAGAAGCATAAACCAGGCAATGAAGAACTCTTTCGCGAGGCTGAAGGAGTTGCAGGAGCTGCTGAGGGATCAGACCCTCACTGCCCCGAGCCAGGAAGGAAGGCCTAGGTGCGGTTGTAGCGGGGAAGCACCGGGCTGCGGCAGTTCACGGGTAGAGGAAGCTACCCAGACCACACCGGATCGAACCCCATACTGCCAAGTTGCTAGGAGCGCCAACCGGAAATGCCACCACCTAATAGGGCAATTCATAACGGGAAAAAGGATGCCAAGCTAAGCCAGCCCAAGAAGAGCCACCCCGACGTGCTCATAATAACGGGGAACGCAGGATCCACATACGGCGATGTCCTTAAACTGGTCACCCGACGGCAAGATGGCAAACTTAACGACGTCAGCCAAAACGTCAGAAAGATACGGCGCACGGCAAAAGGCGATCTCCTGCTGGAACTGGCGGCGAAGGATGTAAATGCTCTTAAGATGCGGCACGGCTCAGCGCCGCTGCTTCAGATGCCTCAGTTTTGGGCACATCGCCGCTTTCTGCAAAGAGCGGACAGATAGAAGCGACTGGTGTTTCAGATGCGGAAAGCCAGGCCACAAAGTGGCTTCCTGCACAAACGCGGCAGAGTGCTTCCTCTGCGCAGCTGCAAACAAGGCAGAGCGTGCCCACGTAGCTGGAAGCAAAAGATGCCCTCTCGGCAAACCTGATGCAACGAAGCAAAACAGAGAATGAGGTTCATTCAGATCAACCTCAACCACTGCGAGGTAGTCCATAACCTACTTTAGCAGGTTTTAAGAGAGAACGCCAGGGGCCGCACCCTCCAGGAGACCTTCGCGACTCTCGACGTAGCCCTGCTGAACACCGGCTCCCAAAACACGTTCAGCAAGGCGGGGTATGGATCAATCGTGGACCTTACCTTCTGCAGCAGCGGCCTGTTTCGAAGGACAAGGTGGTCCCTCAGTGATGACTATACTGCGAGCGACCACAAATATATAGTCTGTGACATCAAGGACAGAGCGCAAGCATCCACAACAGCGAAACCATCTAGGTTCAATCCGGCTACGTTGCAACCGCAATTATTCGCGCAGGAACTGAGGATCCCAGAACCTTCGGGAGACGCTGAGCGCGACGTCCAAAACACCATGTCTGCGGTTTTTTAGGCCTGCTAAGTCAGCATGAGGCGTAGCCGTGGGAATTCAAGGCACCATGATCCGGTGCCCTGGTGGTCCCCGGAGATAGCCCATGCGCGCAGTGAATTTCTCCGTTCCAGAAGGCTGGACCAAAGAGCCAGAGGAAGGCCGGACTTCGAGCAAAAAAGAGAGGACTTCGCAGCAAAGAGGAGGATCTTGAAGAACTTGATAAGGGAGGCGAAAACGAGGTGCTTCCTCGAGATGTGCGATGCTGCAGAGCAAGATCCGTGGGGATCGGCCACCGGACCGTAGTCAAAAAAGCGAAGCAGGCAAAGCCGATCGCTCCGAAAGAAGCCGCCACAATGAGAGCCATTGTAGAGCACCTTTTCCCGACGCAGACACACCCTGTGCCGAGTGGAGCAAGTGAACCTGCAGGCTCTACGCCAGTCCAGGTAATAGGCCCAAAGGAAATAGTGGAAATCGATAAAGCAATACAAGTCGGAAAAGCTCCCGGTTCAGATGGAATCTCAGACAGCGCGATTGAACTGGCGATGACTGCGATACGGGTTCAGGGAACACCGCTGCACGGTCGACGCAATTTCCCTGGTCAGGAGGATAGCAGCCAAGGCAATCGAGGAGACCAGATGGGCGGTCGGAAGCAAGGAGTACTGCCTGAACGCCACTCTGTACATCAAAAATGCCTTTAATACTGCCAGGTGGGATGCCATAGTGGAGGCGCTGCGAAATCTCCGTGTGTCGACTGGCATAGTGGAGGTCATAAGGTCGTACCTCAGCGACCGTACTATAAGGTACGAAACGACCTCAGGCATCAGAGAACATGCGACCTCCTGTGGCTCAGTCTTAGGACCAGCCCTTTGGAACGTGATGTACGACGGGGTCCTCAGACTAGAGCTCCCGGAACGGACACACCTTGTCGGTTTCATCGCGGTAGTGGTCGTCGCCAAGACCATCCAGGAAGCTGAGGAGCACTGCAATGCTGCAATCGTGAAAGTCATCGGCTGGCTCAAACAGGCAGGGCTAAGCCTTGCCCACCACAAGACGGAGGCTGTCCTGAAGTCAAGCAGGAAGCGGGTGGAGACGGCCACAATCAAATTAGGCGGACATGTGGTCACATCAACCAGGGCCATCAGGTATCTGGGAGTGACGCTGGACACGAGGCTTAGCTTCATGGAGCACCTTGTAGAAGTAAATCGCAAGGCAGCGAATGTCGCCAGAGCACTATCGGGGATTATGCTCAATTTTATGGGCCCGAAGCAAGGTCGGAGACTACTGCTTCAGACCGTCTGCAGCGCAACAATGCTCTACGCAGCTCCAGTGTGGGCGGAGGCAGCCACAAAAAGGTTTGAGCCACAAACACCAAAAGATTGACCAGCACTTAAAGGCTTTGCGCCATAAGGGTGTGCTCGGGCTTCCGCACGATATCGGAGGATGCAGCGCTCGTCATCTCAGGCATGGTACCAATCGACCTGCTCGCGTCGGAGCGGCAAGAGCTACACCAGGCCCTAGCAGCGCTAAGCGGGCAAGCCCCGGCAGCGATACGCCGCCGGCAAAAAGAGTGCTCGAGAGCCATGACCATACAGAAGTGGCAACAACGATGGGACGAGTCGACCCAGGGACGCTGGACCTACCAACTAGTCCTCGACCTTAAGAAATGGATTTAAAGAAGTCAGGGGGAGGTAAACTTCTGGCTCACTCAGGTTATCAGCGGCCACGGATGCTTCAGGAGCTATCTTTTAAAATTCGGACACGACCCAAGATGCCCGGAATGCGGGGTGGACGAGACGGCGGAACACGTGGTTCTGGACTGCCCACGCTTTTCAGTCTCCAGGCGGAGACTCCTAGGGGAAGTATCGACGGTGGACCTCATTGGAAGGAGGTTTCTGGAGGACGCCTAGTTCTGGGCAGGCATGAGCAGCTTTGCCGCCTTAACGATGAAGGAGCTGAGACGGCTAGAAAGGAAACGAGCGGAGGCTAGGCTAGCCTAGACAAACAAAACCAGTTGGGCGCTTAGGCACGCCAATCCTGGCCTTGCGAAGCAAAGCCTAGCGGCATTACCGCAGGGTTACAGGAACTTAGGAGACACCTCATTGTTAGAGCTTAGTTTTAAGTTATTTTTTGTTAATAAACAATAAAAAAAAAAACCTACGATTAAATATTTTTTCGAAATCGGACCACAGCGGCAATCATAATCCTCATAATCCAGTGATTCTTCCCATTTTTCTCTGGTCACTGGATCTACTCTACTCAAAACTAAGTGAATGATCATTGAGTTTGTAATTTTAGTGTCATCTCCTATGGATAATAGCGACCCATACATAGATGACACTGTGTCGATACCACAAATACCTGAGGTTTTGCCTTGGGATCCTTTAATCCCGCTGCCACTTTCTTTATGCAGTCAATGCAGGTGCACGGCATGGAGGTAGATGGTTTCCTGGTGACGATGATCCTGCGGTGATGATCCTGGATTTCTTCTTGAGGCGGTTTCACGACGCGGGATTTTTTTTTTTTTTTGTTACTTCACGGACGCGTTGCGAGCAGCTCTATGACTTTTAGTTTGTGTATAATAACACAGTGTCACTGTCACTTTTATGTTTTATGTTTTTTAAATATTTTTCACTATTGTCCACCCGGGGGCGCCAAAATGTTTAACGAGATTATTTTATCTCACACTTGCAAAATAACAAAAAAAGGGCGGCTGCTAAATATTTAAAAATGCGAAAAAAAACGATTACGAAAAAAATGGTTGTGCCTCATCAACGTTATAAATTCGAATGTATTTCTCTCTAATCTTAAGCCAAACTTATCTGTTGCGGCGAAGCGGGGCGAATTCGCACCAGAGCGAATATGAGCTTTCGCCCCGCTCCGGCCTAAGCTATCTTCGAGTACATTTAGAAACAAACAACTACAAAATACAACTCAACTATAACTATAATTTAAATTTTCGACAACTTCAATATAATAGCAAAGCAAGTAACAATCGGAATAAAGTGTACGGCAAAATAAGTTAATTTTTACTCATCAGTGTGTTTTGTTCAGTGAATTGAGTTAAATGTAAAGTTCGCGTATGATTAAATAAAGAAAATAAGGAGTTAAGCTGTTTGTAATGGCACTGAGCGAGTAAATCTTTGATAAATGAGGTCAATAAGATATTATTTAATTTAAGAGTTGCGCTGCTCCGGTTACCAAAATAGTAAACAACAAAGTACGACTATAGTAGTCAAGTTTCCCGAATTTATAATACCCGGTACTCATCTTTTCCACCCAAAATTTAACTAACCTTTAAAGTTTTAACTTTAAAAAACTTAATCTGAGCGGATGTCATTTTATCCCAAGTTCCAAGTTCTGATAGTTCTATCTAATAGTTCCCGGCTCCCAAAAATGACACGCACGAGTTATTCACATTAGGACTAATCGCAGAGGTCAACCCAACCGAGGTGCAATGGCCAGGTCTCACTCCGGAGGAACCGCCTTCGTGATCACGGTTAACCTTTCAGTTCTGTATATTCACTTGCCGTACCCGGACGTGTTTCTTCGATCGATCTTGCCAGTTTGCAATTATTTTCGATCTTGAACTGAAGTTTTCTCCTTCTGCGACAATTGAAAATATAACGATTAATCCCTAAAAATAAATTCGACTTAATAAGTTCATTGAACTATTTACTTTCAATTTATACATTTAATCGATTAAAGCTATCTCTTTTGCGCTTTAACTATATTCTCCAACATAAGTTTCTCCAAGCTGTACTCTCCGGACGTAACCCGTTACATCATATTTACTGTGGAGTTTGTTGTTCTTCACGACGCCGAACCTTCGTTGCACATCTCTTTTGTAACGTCATCTCTTACATCAGATCTGATCGTCCACTCTCGGCTACAGAGTGCTTCAGAGAGCCTTAATGCTTTACACGCTACTACAGTGGTCTGCATTCCGTCAAAAAAGAAGTCAAAAATGAGTCTTACTTGCACAGCAAAAATATGTGAATTTGGTGGAACCATCACGGGTGACTCATACCTGTCTTGTTGGCTCTGCAATAACTGCTCACATATTAAATGTGCTGCGTCGCTTGTAGAGAAATTGAGTCAGAGATGTGGACTTTTATGAAACAGACGAGAAATGGTTTCCTAGATGTCCGCAAGCAATTCTCGGCCCTTAATGAGCAATTCCTCGCTCTTAAAACTCAATTCCTTGGGCTAAAGTTGTTAAGCGAATCCCCCAGACAAAAAATTCCGAACAACAACCTGCTGACTGCTAAATTACTGAATACCCCTACATCCCATGCTGTACAAGTCGATGAATTTTCAACACCACACATTTTACCGTCGTAAAATTAATATTTTACTTGTCTACCTACTGAAGCTGTTCTTGTACCAAGGGACATGATGAGCCTTCCAGCAGGGAATACAAACCTTGAGCCTCCCATTATCTTAGAGCCTCAACCGTTGGATAACCTACATTCTGTTCCTGCTGTGCTGTCTCCAAGGCTTCTAACTGGTGTGGGGCCTGAGGTTAGATCTTCTGGACTTACGCTGAGGGCGGTTGCTCCTCGTAAGGCCATTTTTGTCTCTCGGCTTATGCCGGATGCTACTGTTGATGATGTCAGGAGTCACCTGTTAAACCATCTTAAGGTAGCTCCTAATGAAATAGCTGTTTTTAAGTTTAACTTTAAGCATAAGCGTTCTATTTCTTCTTTTAAAATAGTTCTACCTGATTCCTACCTTGAAAAAACACTTAATCCTGTAGCTTGGCCTGAGCACAGTATCATTCATAAATTCCTAGCAAAAGACGCTCAGAATCCTAGCCCTGCAGAAACTGCTTCAAAAATCTGAATAACATAGTATTTTCCTGCTGCTATCAAAAAGTTTGAAGTATTCTGGGTAAGCTGAGCAAATTTTTTACAAAGAGTGCTTCTTTTGATTTTGATGCTATCGTGTTCGAAGCTCTTTCAACAATAGATATATCATTCTCTGCTGGTCCTGAAAATGTTCCTAGCTGTGTTCAAAAGTACTGTTCTGATATCCTTTGCTATCCTCTCACTATCTTTTTCAACCTATCCTTGGAGCTGGCATGTCTTCTCAAGAGATGGACCGAATCTTTTATTATTCCGCTTCATAAGAAAGGCTCTAAAACACTTATTAAGAACTACCGGGGGATTGCTAAGCTATCTGCGATTCCCAAACTGCTTGAGAAACTGGTTACTTTCCAACTGCAACATTTTTGTTAAAGCATTATTTCCACTTCACAGCATGGTTTTGTCAAGCTTCGCTCTACCACAACTAACCTTCTTGAATTCACTTCGTTTATCCACAGAGGTTTTCTGAGCCGCATGCAAACTGATGTGATATACACTGACTTTAGTAAAGTGTTTGACTCTGTGAACCACCATCTCCTCCTTCATAAGCTGTGTCTTTTGGGGTTTTCTCCACATATAGTAGAGTGATTGATCTCTTATCTATTGAACCGCACGCAGCGTGTTTTGTTTAAAAACAGTTCATCACAGATTATAAATGTTTCATCTGGTGTCCCACAAGGTAGTCACTTAGGACCTCTTCTGTTTGTTCTTTTTGTCAACGATTTACCTAGTGTTGTAAACTATGCTACTACATTTATGTATGCTGATGATGTCAAGTTATGTCTTTCTTTCTCAGACCATTTCCTTCATAGACACCTGCAACTAGACCTTAACGAAGTCTTCTTGTGGTGTTAAAACAATCTCCTTTTGCTTAACTGCTCTAAGTGTAAGGTTATGACGTTCAATCGCAGTGTGCCTCACATCGTTTCGTACTCTCTTGGGAATAACGTCTTAGATCGTGTTTCCCTAATTAATGATCTTGGAGTAATTTTTGACAATAAGTTGTCCTTCAACGACCACATATCACTAACAGTTAATAAAGCCAGAGGTGTGCTAGATTTTATCAAACGTTGGTCTAAAGAATTTGATGATCCTTTCACAACTAAAACTCTATACGTATCGTTGGTTCGTCCTATCTTGGAATACTGTTCTAGCGTTTGGAGTCCGCAATACTTTGTTCACCAAAGGAGGATTGAATCAGTCCAAAAGCAGTTTCGGCTATTTGCGTTAAAAAGCTTAAACTGGGATACTGCCACTTCCCTCCCGTCGTATAATTGCCGGTTAAAACTACTAAACCTACCTCCTTTAAAAGAGCTCCGTACTTGTGCTGGGGTTATGCTACTTCATGTGCTTATTCTTTGACAGGTTGACTCACAAGTACTTCTTGAAAAATTCTTGAAATTTCTAGGTCTAATTTTTCGGAACACGATCCATTTCGCGTTATTTGTAAAAATTATAACTCATTGTCCCATTTATTATCCCCTGAACTATCCCTAGATGTAATTAAATCCAAAATTATGGAATATCTTTTAACTTAATTTATTCTTACTTTTAGTTATAATAATATAGAAATAACAGATCATTGTTAATAATAATAAATAAAAATAAAAAAAAAAATAACTTTAGTTCTAAAAACTTTTTTTTCAGATACAAATTCACTATAGAAATAGTTTGGCATCTAAAGTTTTTCAAAAAACCTTCCTGTACTGGCGGTACAGAAAATTATGGAATGGATGGCGGCGAATGGGGTCACCTACATACACCTATCGATAAAATTAGATGCTAATTGGTGTTTTCTAAGCTCACCAATCAGCTGTGAACTGTAAATGTCAACATATGTATCACCAGGTGATTTATACAATTTTGGCGCCCTTTTGGTTGCATATTTGCATAAATAATGCACAATGTGATACATAGGAAATCTGTGCTTGTGACGTCTCAGTATATGTGCTACTTCTAAATTGTAGTGGACGTTAAGTGTATTAACAATGCGCGGAATAGAGCGCACACCAGTCTTCCGTGAAGTAGAACTTAACAGATTCACCTGTTATCACTCTGGTTGCAATTGTTTGTTAAAGTGTGAATAATTATCTGCCCGAAATGTCAAAAATGAAGTGCGTATTCCTGCGTATCTACAAGTTATTTCACTTCTTAGGAAGAATGTCAATGTCGAACCGCGTACTTTTTTTAGTATGGCACGGCAAAGCGATGCCCACTAAAAAGTTCTTCGTAATGGAAAGCTTTGCATTAGAAGAAGTTGTTAACAAATATGATTGTAACAACAAGTGGGAAAATTCCGAAATTGGGAAAAAGCGATAAAAATAAGGCAGCTTTTGAAAAAAGTAATAAAGAATGGTTAGACACGCCTCAGGTGTTGATGGAAAGATCATCATTTAGAAATGTTGAACGCCCAGAGTTTATTTCAGAGTTTTGCAGAAAAACTCAAATCAACTATCAGGCATTTCGGAGAAAGTCTCGACGGATGCATTGTTGTTGGCTGCAAGTAGCAGCTTGTATATAGACGGAAGGCGCAATACATCAAGAATTGTGTCGAAGCTGAATGCTGACGAGGATCTTACCGGGGATATTATTAGTACTGGAAGTACTGCCGGTACTGGAAGTACTAACAATGGAAACACTGCACGAAGATTTTTTTCAGCAACCAAATTTAGCTGCGCGCATAACAGGAGTACACTAAATGTTAATATTCCGATTAAGCGTTGTCCTGCGAGCATTGTCGTGTGGACATTACTTAAACACGGATGCGTTCGGATCGTACGTTATGTTAATAAATACCCTTGGTTTTACATGCCATCGTCTGTTCACAGAATTTTAATTCATGGAGCAGACATCATAAACAGTTTTTGCCTTTCAATGGGTATGATGTAAGAGGAAGCGCTTGAAGCAAGATATAAAGATTATCGAAACATACGCGAGAATAATACAAGGAAAAATTCAAGAAAAAACACAATGGAGGATATAATAAATACGTTTTTTGTTTCTTCTGATCCTCTAATATCCTCAATGTCAAATGGCTCATCAATTTCGTCATCGAAAAATATAATTATGGACTAAAACGTTAAGAGCTTTCTTTCAGCAGAGAATCTTGGAACCGATAATTTTATTTAAAATTTTTGTATATAATGTATATATGTTTGTTTTTTTCTTCTTGTATAATATAAGCTATAATTATATTTCTTACTCTTTTTCTTTTGAACAAAAAATTTAGTCTTTTTTTTAAATTTAAATATAAAAAAAAATATATATAAAAAAAAATTAATATATAAAAAAAATATATACAAAAAACACTATAAATTTCATTCTTATCCACAGATAACAGATTGAAGATATTAATTAAATTCCGCTAGTGAGGCCAAATCAACCAATGTGGGTCGTGGCAAAATAAATTACACAGTGCGACAGTGATTTGGAACTTTTGAAGAGACCTAGTAGGAATTGCTCATTACGTCGAATATAGTATGAAACCGTGTTTGGAATTTTTCCAACACCCTCAAATTTTTGATTTATTTGGAAAAAAACGGTTTTTTGCGACTTTTTTGCTCTTAAAAATTCCTAAGCGCGTAATTTTAAAACGATTTAAAAAATTTCCAACGTTTTTCAAAAGTTAAATGTTGTTGCTTTGGAAAAGAAA